CTAATCAAAAACGGCCCTCGGAAGGATGGAAGGCTGAGTCGACCTTGAGCTGGTGAGATTTGAACGGCGGAACTGCAGATCACAGTCAGCTGAAGTGGCCTGCAGTACTGCACCCTAACCACTGCGCCACCTCGTCTCTTCTCCTTCATTCCACCTTGCTTCTCTCCTTGACGACTTTCCATCCGTTGCTTCTTGTCCCTACCTTCGGGGTCTTTGGAGAAGAGGTCCGACATTTCCCAGCCACCAGAAAGGCAGCTGCCTTCGGAGGCTGAGGTGAGTGAGGAGGAAGAACAGCTGAGGCCAGCTGTTCCAGATGTGGCTGGCTCCAGATGCGCGTATGCACAGAGCAATTAGGAGAGGAGAACACGGGAGGACGAGGAGTCACCTCGGGAAGCAAAGCACACGTGGACGCTGAATGGGGAATCTCCCTGGCTGGGGAATAAATAGAAGGAAAGGGGAGTGGTGGTCGTAGAAGACAACAGTTCGTATTTCTGAAGATTTTGCTCATTGTGTTTCGTGCCACAAAGACTGCTTGCCAGCCTGGGAGCTCCCCTTGCAATTATCGCAAGGAACTGATAAGGTCTGTACTGCAGTTAACTCCTTGAAGGACTCTTGCCTGGGCTTTTCGGTGGGTGAATGCCATTAATTCCCAAGAGGTAAATAAAAAGGGGTGTTTTCTTTATATTTCTTGCTTCTGTTAAGGCTGGGTCAAAACAACTGGAGGTTATAACATATAAAGAGCAATTGCAGGAACTGGGGATGTCTAGTTTAATGAAAAGAAGGACCAGGGGAAACATGATGGCAGTGTTCCAATATCTCAGGGGTTGCCACAAAGAAGAAGGGGTCAACTTATTCTCCAAAGCACCTGAGGGTAAGACAAGAAGCAATGGGTGGAAACTAATCCAGGAGAAAAGCAAGCTAGAACTAATGGGGAATTTTCTAACAGTTAGAAGAATTAACCAGCGGAACAACTTGCCACCAGAAGTTTTGGGTGCTCCAACACTGGAAATTTTTAAAGAAGCGACTGGACAGCCAATTGTCTGAATTGATATAGGGTTTCCTCCCTATATGGGGGAGTTGGACTAGAAGACCTCCAAAGTCCCTTCCAACTCTGTTATTCTTTTATATATGTATTCCCCGTCCTAACTGCATTTTGTTCCTCCCCCCTTTTGGGCTATTATTTTAAAACTCATTAAAAAAAAAACGACAAAATTTTAGCGCGTCGAAAGAAATACGTTGCCACATTTTAAAAACATATTCGCAACCAGCGCATCAGTTCCTAAGCCAGGATTGGGGGTCTAATCCAGCCGTCCAAAGAAATCCCAATTTGGGGGCGATGCACGGAAGCGCCGGCGTGGTACTTACGGGTAATGTAGAGGGCGAGTTGCATGGCACCCAGCATTGTGCCCCACAGGGACCGGCCCAGTATGAAGATGGAGGGAGAGGCGGCGAAGGCTGCCAGGAAGCCCACGGGGCAGCCGAGAGCCAGCGTCAGTAGGAAAGTACTCCGTCGCCCTACACTGTGAAAAGCAAAGAAAATCGAGAGATTTTACAGGGCAGTCCTTGAGTCCTCCATCGGGGCTGCAGAGGCGGTGGTTAAGCGAGTCGTGCCAGGTTTTGCCCCCTTTCCCGCAAACGCATTGTTGCATTTGAGACATTTGTCAAGGTGAATCTTGCCCCATATTACGATGTTTCTTGCTGCCGTCGTTAAGCGAACCACTGCAGTGGTCAAGTTAGCGACACGGCTGTTAAGCGAATCTGGCTTCCCCTTTGACTCTGCTTAGTAGAAGGTCGCAAAATGGGATCAGGTGACCCCGGGTTGCTGCGACCATCATAAATACGAGTCAATTGTCTGAATTTTTATCATGTGACCATGGGGATGCTGGTAGAGTCATTGAGTGCGAAAAACGGTTGTAAGTCACATTCTTCAGTGCCACTGTAACTCTAAATGGTCACTAAAGAAACTGTTGAAAATGGTGGGCTATCTATATTTGAGTTTTTCTTTCTTTTTCTTTCCTTCCTTCCCTTCCTTTTTCTTTTCTTCCTTCTTTCCTCTTTCTTTCTTACTTTTCTCTTCCCTTCCTTTTTTCTTCCCTTCCTTCCATCTTTATTCCTTCCTTTTCTGTTTCCTTCCTCCTTCCCCTTACTTTCTTCCTCCCTTTTCTTTCCTTCCTTCCCTTCCTTTTTTCTCTTCCTTCCTTCTTTTCTTTTTCTTTCTTCCTTTTCTCTTTCCTTCCTTTCTTCCCTTTTCTTTCCTTCCTTCCATCTTCCTTCCTTCTTTTTCTCTTTCCTTCTTTCCTTCCTTTTTTCTCTTCCTTCCTTCTTTTCTTTTTCTTTCTTCCTTTTCTCTTTCCTTCCTTTCTTCCCTTTTCTTTCCTTCCTTCCCTTCCTTTTTTCTCTTCCTTCCTTCTTTTCTTTTTCTTTCTTCCTTTTCTCTTTCCTTCCTTTCTTCCCTTTTCTTTCCTTCCTTCC